CCTAGGGGGTCTAGTCGGCGCCTAGGAAGGTTAGGCGGCTAGCCGCCTAGACCACCGATTATGATGATATGTTAGGTGGTCGGCCAGCGCCTAGTACCTAGGCACCAATTAATCGGTGCCTAGACGAGATTTTTGTTTTTCACTTAAAACATTTCAAGACCATTTATGTAATTAAAAGAGTTATCAGCTTGTTTCCAACAAACAAATGCATTTCAAGGTCTAACTTTTATTTTTTTTAAATGGAATAAAAAAACACACAAATCGTAATGTTTACTCTGATCTAACTCATATATAACAACAATATAATATTCATTAATTATTTAATGAATATCTCAATATAATCGATGTATTATATTACAATCAGAATATGCCATTAGTTTGAGCATGTCAATTATAGATAAACTTGATTGTTTTACTTTTGTATAACTTTTTATCAGTTAAGATTACAAGACAAAGTTTACTTTATACACACCTTCAGGTAGTAACTAATAATTTCTCTCATCACAAAAATTAATAAATAAGGTATTCGTTTGTAGTTATTGGACCATGGGCTACTATGTAGATCACGTTAAGGTTTTACCAAACATGTACAATCCATGTCCTAGATAAAATTTTTTTTTGAATGCATGTCCTAGATAATTGAATTGCTATTTTCTTTTCTTTTCCTGTACGAGAATCCATTATTTTAAATTGTTTGTAAAAAAAAAAAAAATGCATGTTGCGGGTTGGATTCATCCCTGAAAGATCACTTTTTGGGCAACCAAGCCATTATTATTATTATTTTTTTTTTGTCATAAATGTCAAGATACATCACAGTAATTGAACATGTGAACGCAAAAAATAATATATGTTGTGTAGCGTTATTGGTAATATATTTCAATAGTGAAAATTATGAAATTTCTGACCACCTAAAAGTAATCTTAAATCAAGTCGAAAGTCTTGTTCCGACCACTTTTGGTATTCGGAAAAAAACCTTTATTGCTATTTCCGATCACTTTTTGGTATTAACTTGATTTAAGATCACTTTCAGGTGGTCGAAAATTCCATAATTTCCAGTAGTGTTTGCCAAATAATTTTAAGTTTAGGTTAGTATTTATTTTATTAGTTTGGACTTTATTTAGTGGAGTTAATGTTATATGAGGTCTTTCGAGTATAGTGTTTTGCTACGTTTAGTTCTAAATTTTCAAATTGACCACTCGTGGTCCAAGTAACCATCTATTGTCCTTCAATCTTCAAAATTTAACCAGCATTGGTCCTCCTAGAAGGACCGCTGCTAGTTAAAATTTGATAGTTGAAGGACCATAGATGATTAACTTGGACCACAAATGGTAACAATTTAAAAGTCGAAGGACCACGAGTGATCGATTTAAAAGTTTAGGACTAAACATGACAAAACTACGGTATTCGAAGAACCCCAGATGATATCAACTCTTATTTAGTGATGCATTATATTAATTATATATGCCTGGAAAAGAAGTTGTTGGAGTTTCATTCAAAAGGGAGTTTTTAGAGATCAGAATCTTCAGCAAAATTCGTTTACATAACTCTTCATGATTAAAGGAGATCTTCCTGCAACAAGATTTAAGGTTTAAGTTCTATACTGCAAGTATAAATAGTAGTGTGAAACTCAAGAGAAGTGTAGCTGATATATACATATTTTAGTCCATAATCTTCACGCTTCTTCCTGCAGAATTAATATGCAAAATTCATAAAATTAATTCAGGGATATTTTATATAAGATGGTAATCAATTATAGCTGTTTGAAGTAATATGTTATTCATCAGAGAAGTGGAAACTTTGTTTATTAGTCCAGAAAAGTGAAGAATTTGAGGAACGATGATACCTGCATTCCTGCCAACTCAGTTGATGATGAAGATTGGTTGGCATGAAAAATTAGGCCATAAATGTAGTGTGGAAATCTGTTCATCCGTGTAACATATTTGATCATGTAGTAGAGTTTGTTAGATTATGTGAAAAACAGATGGTGATGATTTATAGCTGAACACATTGCAGAGAAGAAGAAGAAGAAGAAGAAGAAGTACTCTCATTATTGTGTCTCAGTCGTTCATTACAGCAGCAAGAAGCATTATATATGAAAGCCTAGTCTATTCAAAAAACGGTTATAACAGAAAATAGGAGTGTAAAGACAAGAATGCCCTTTGGGCTTAAGATGACAAGAACAACCCTGATCCCTTGACTGCTTTGACTCCTCTTGTGACTGCATCAGCTTGTAATCTCCAACACCCCCCCTTAAGCTGGGGAATGGACATCCTGAAGACCCAGCTTAGAATGAAACATTTCAAACATTGGTTTCGATAAAGCTTTTGTAAATCCATCAGCAATCTGCTTCTGTGATGAAATAGGGAGCAATCTGATCACTCCTTCTTGTACTTTCTGTTTGACAACATGGCAATCAATCTCAATGTGCTTGGTGCGTTCATGAAAGACATGGTTCTCACCAATGGCAATTGCAGATTGATTATCACAAAAGAGGGAAGTGGGACTATCACATGGCACACCCAAATCTGTTAGCAGATAATGCAGCCATTGGATTTCACATACAGTAGAAGCCAAAGCTCTGTATTCTGCCTCAGAGGAAGACCTTGAGACAGTAGCTTGCTTCTTAGTTCTCCAGGAAATTAAGGCTTCTCCAAAGTATATGCAGTAGCCAGTGATGGACTTTCTAGTCTCTGAACATGTAGCCCAATCTGAGTCAGAAAAGCCTTGCAGCCTAAGATGAGTGTGAGGGATAAAATAGACCTTTTCCTGGAGATCCCTTGAGGTACCTGAGTACTCTATGAGCTGCTGTTAGATGAATGTGTGTAGGTTTGTCAACAAATTGACTCAATTGTTGAACTGAATGTGAAATATCTGGCCTGGTATTAGTCAGATAAAGGAGCTTCCCAATCAACTTTCTGTAAATCTCTGGATCATTCAATGGAATCCCCTCTGTACTGGTTAGTTTCTGACCTGTGGTTGCAGGAGTTTTAGCTGGTTTGGCCTCCAAAAAACCATTCTCTCTCAAGATCTCTAGAGTATACTTCCTCTGACAAATATTGATGCCATCAGAATTTCTGAGAGCCTCAATCCCCAGGAAATAATTCAGACTACCAAGGTCCTTTATTTTGAAAGACATGTCCAGGAATTTTTTCAGCTCATTGATTTGTGATGAATCATTCCCAGCAACTAATATATCATCCACATAGATAAGTAAGGAAGTAAAAGAGTTGCCTGAAGTCTTTGTGAACAAAGAAGGGTCTGCTGTGGACTGATGGAAACCAATTAGCATTAATGCCTGTGTTAACTTTGCATTCCACTGTCTGCTAGCTTGTTTTAAGCCATATAATGACCTTAGAAGCCTGCAAACCTGTCTAGGACTATCAATCTGGAAACCAGGAGGTGGAACCATGTAAACTTCCTCCTTTAGATCCCCATGTAGGAAGGCATTGTTGATGTCCAACTGTTGAATATCCCAATTCTTAGCAACTGCTACAGCCAGGAATGTTCTAATGGTGGTCATCCTAGCCACAGGTGAGAAAGTTTCAGTGTAATCAACTCCCAATTGTTGAGTATACCCTTTTGCAACCAATCTAGCCTTGTATCTTTCTATAGAGCCATTTGCTCTATGTTTAACCTTGTATACCCATTTGCAGCCAATAGGAGATTTTCCTGCTGGAAGATCTGTTAGGGTCCAAGTGTTGTTGGCAATCAATGCATCTATCTCAGTCTGCATTGCCTTTCTCCAAGGTTCATGTTGAACAGCTTCTTGATAGGACTGTGGTTCATGAGTAGAAGAAATAGACATAGCACATGTCCTAGGACCAGGAAGGAGATGATCATAAGATATGACTTTGTCTAATGAATGTGGGGATGTGTTGTCCTTATTTTTCACCATGGATTGGCAATAGTAGTCATGCAGCTTAGTGGGGATGTTCCTGGTTCTCCCAGACCTTCTAGGATGTGTCAGTCGGATCTCTGTGGTCTCATTTGTTCCATTGGTGAGATCAACTTCAATAGAATGTGGCTGAACATCCACTGGTGGTTGATCAATTTCAGTGGGATGTGGCTCATCAGCAAGTGAAGGCTGATTGAACTCAAGAGTTGGTGAAACCTGATCAAAGTCAGCTGGATGTAGCTCAATATCTGGTGGTGAGTCATTCATCTCAACAGAGTGTGGTTCCACATTTTGAGTGTTGAAATACATTTGCCTTCCTGTAGCATCTGTCTCAACTGAAACAGGAATTAAAGGCAGAGAGGGATTAAAATGTTGAGACTCACTGTTGACTCCTGAAATATTTCCCTTATAGGGATAGATATCTTCATAGAACTGCACATCCCTGGAAATGGAATCAGAGTTATCAACAAGATCATGAACTATGTACCCCTTCACATTTGCAGGAAATCCCAAGAAGATGCATTTCTTGGCTCTTGGCATTAACTTATTTCTTCCTTGTGAAGCAGTGGCAGCATAGCATAGACAACCAAAGGTTCTAAATTGACTATAATCCACCTTAGCTTTGAATAAAACCTCATAAGGTGATTGTCCATTATTTAAGGGAGTGGGTAGCCTGTTAATTAGATAAGAGGCATGCAAGATACACTGACTCCAGAACTCCATTGGCAGCCCAGATTGAAATCTTAGGGCCCTTGCCACATTCAACAGATGTTGGTGTTTTCTCTCAGCTATTCCATTTTGTTGTGAGGTGTTCACACAAGACTTTTGATGAACAATGCCTTTTTCATCAAAGAAGGCATTCATAAGAAACTCACTTCCATTGTCTGTCCTCACAGCCTTTATTCTTGCTGAGAATTGTGTATCAACATACTGATAGAAGACTTGAAATAAAGATCTAACCTCTGATTTGTTCCTCATGAGGTGAGTCCGGGTGAATCTGCTATGATCATCCACTATTGTTAAGAAATAGTGTTCCCCTTTCTGGGATGCAACTGCAAATGGTCCCCATACATCCATGTGGATTAAATCAAAACAATTTTCAGTTCTAGATGTGCTCAAAGGAAAAAAGAGACCTCTTATGTTTAGCAAAATGGCAACTGTCACAAGCAATGCCATGAATTTTATTAGACTGAGCAGATTTTATTCTATACAAGTATTGGATCTTGTCCATAGGATAATGTCCTAATCTATTGTGCCATAATTGCAATGTCACAGCACTGCACTGTCTGTCATCAATTATATCAGACTGATCATCTTCCTTCTTAGCAGGTGGATGCTTGATCAAGTACAGCCCACCCTTTTCTTCAGCAAAACCATGCACTATTCCACAGGGATCCTGGATATTACATGATACATCATTCATAATGAGTTTGCAGCTGCTCTGCTTTGCCAATCTACTAGCAGAAATGATATTGAAAGAAAAAGTTGGGATATGAAGAACATTTTTCAATAGCAGATTTGGATAAAGTTTGATTTCCCCCACATTAGCAACTTCCACTGTCTCTCCATTAGGCAGTTTGACAGAGATATTCTGGACCTTATGGCAGTTGTCAAGATATTCTAAGGAGCAAGTAATATGGTCTGTGGCTCCTGAATCTAGAATCCAAACTGTTGAGCAATTCAAAATGGAATTAACAAGATAGTTAGAAATAGACCTGCCTTCCTTAGATTCTTCTGGCTTATCTCTGAAATCTGTTCTGGTTCCAGATTTCCCAACTGTGAGTGCAGCACTGGTGGATGCTTGACTCCCTTGGTTTTGATTCTGCAATAATGACAACAATCTCTGGAACTGGTTAGCAGATAGGCCTATGTCTCCAACCTGATTTACTGAGCCATTTTGAGTCTGCTGATTGTCATTATTCTGCCTGCTTTTGGATTTGTAACCAGCTACCCATCCAGGGGGTAGCCATGCTTTTTATAGCATTTTTCAACAGTATGGCCAAGCATATTACAGTATGTACACTTTGGAATATTCTTTCCTGTGTTATTGAACTTTTTCTTACCATACGAAGTTGAGGCAGCCACCGGTGATTGTTCATCAGTATTCTGATATTGAGTTGCATTGGAATAAGTAACTTCATTTTTTTATGACTTCCAGAGCCATTTAGCTTTCTTTCCAGCTTCAAGGCCATGTTCAAAACCTTTTCAATGTTTGGTATAGGATCCATCACCAATACTCCCGACTTTATAGTTTCAAACTCCTCATTCAACCCCTCTAAGAACCTTATCACCTGATCTTCCTCTCTATCCTTTTGTATCTTACTCATAAGTTTGCAGGAACACTTAGGCACACATTCACACATATACATAGGTCTCATTGCATTTAATTGTTCCCATAGAACATTGCATTTAGTGAAATACTCATTGATAGACAAAGTACCTCGAACATTTTTATAGATTGCATTCTGAACTTCTGCTATTCTATGCGGATCAGCCTGTGAATATCTTTTCCTCAGAGCTGTCCAAATCTCCTCAGCTACTTCAAAGTATAGCACACTTTCTGCTATGGTTGGACTGAGCGACTTCAGGATCCAGGAACAAACAATATCGTTGCACCTTTTCCAGATCGCGTATCTCGGATCAGCTTCCCCTAGACACACAATGCTTCCATCTACAAAATCGAACTTATTCTTCACCTCTAGGGCAATCTTCATGGATCTGCTCCATGAAGCATAATTGCTTTCGGTCAGTGGGGGAGAAACAAGCATAAGGTTGGGATTCTCCGTAATGTGTAGATATAAGGGATCATCGAACTCCTCTGTTTGATATGAGTAGCTGCGATTTGCAGCAGTTTGATTGATGGGAGGAGCGGCTGTGGCATCTTCTGTCAACGTTGCTCCACCTACTCCGGAATCCATGACGACGACGGCGGCGTAACTACGGTAGCGCTCTGATACCATGTTAGATTATGTGAAAATAGATGGTGATGATTGATAGCTGAACACATTGCAGAGAAGAAGAAGAAGAAGAAGAAGAAGAAGAAGTACTCTCATTATTGTGTCTCAGTCGTTCATTACAGCAGCAAGAAGCATTATATATGAAAGCCTAGTCTATTCAAAAAACGGTTATAACAGAAAATAGGAGTGTAAAGACAAGAATGCCCTTTGGGCTTAAGATGACAAGAACAACCCTGATCCCTTGACTGCCTTGACTCCTCTTGTGACTGCATCAGCTTGTAATCTCCAACGGAGTTGAGTTTCACTTTTGATTTTTGGGTGACCCTGCAGACGTAAGAGAAATTTTCCAAAGTGCGTAAACATATCCGAACTGTATTTATAGGCAAATAACCGAATTTTAGGTTTGAATACACAAAAATTACGATGTTAATTAACTACCCTAGATTTAACTAATATCTCAATACAATTAGTGGATTACACTACTAGAAAAATATGTTAATGTTCCTAGAGATATGTCCTTATCACTCGAGGTTATAATAAACCTCAAGTAAAGTATGCGTTTGTGGTTGTTGAACCACGGGCCACTATATTGATTGTGTTAAGATTTTACCAAACTTGTAAAATCCATGTTTAGATAATTGAAATGTTTTTGTTTTTTTCCTTTTCAGTACGAAAATCCATTAATTCTTTTATAACTCAAGTTTCTTGACGGTTAAAAGTAAGTTTTAATTGAGACGTAATACATATCTTTTTGTGATGGTTTTTTGTTTTGTTTGTGTGTTTTTTTATTTTAATTTGTTCTTTTCTTTTTGATATCCCAAGTTCCTCGGTGAAATTTTGGCTTCATCAGACGGCAATTTATATCGTCCACCAAGATGCGCATTGTATTGTGCGCCCTGATGCAAAACGACGTCGTTTTACATAACTGTATAAAAAAATACACATAATTATATAAACAAATACACATAATTGTATAAACAAACACACATAACTGTATAAAAAAATACACATAATTGTATAAACAAATACACAATTGTATAAACAAATACACATAATCACGTCAATTCCCTACCACGCCTCTCAAAACGACGTCGTTTTGGGAGGTGCACAGTGCAATGTACGCCGTGGTGCAGGGTATAAAGATTGTCATCAGACTATATTATATATGGACCTTATTATGAACTCACTTTGAAGTCTATGGTCATGTTTAGTAAAATAGTTAGCTTATAGGTTAATATTTGCTTATTTGATCACTATTAATTGTTTGACTTGGTTAAAAATCAATATAAGTGTTTGGTTAATTAACTTTTTATACTCCAAAATGCTAAAATTCAAAACGCTACTCAAAGTAACTTTTTCAATTAGCTTTTTTGAGAAAAGAAATTATGGCTATGTTTGGCAAACCTAGCTGAAAGCTTAAAAGAAGCTGAAAAGCTAAAAGCTAGGAGCTGAAAACTTAAGAGCTGTTAGGCTTGAAAGTGTTTGGTAAAATTAGCTTTTTGATAAGTTGATAAATATAAAAATATAAAAAAAGGACATCTTCATAAAATTTAAATTTGTTTGTTTACATATTAAAATTTAACATTTTGTCTTTAAAAAATTTAACATTTTGAAATAATATTATTAGCATAATCATGATTTAGTATCCAATAATGAAGTAGCAATATTGTTGCGAATCTCCTTCATCTAATAATAATAATAATAATAATAATAATAATAATAATAATAATAATAATAATAATAATAATAATCATCATCATCATCACCACCACCACCACCACCACCACCACCACCACCACCACCACCACCACCACCACCACCACCACCACCACCACCACCACCACCACCACCACCACCACCACCACCACCACCACCACCACCACCACCACCACCACCACCACCACCACCACCACCACCACCACCACCACCACCATCATCATCATCAAATAATAATAATAATAATAATAATAATAATAATAATAATAATAATAAATTGACCCCTTGAAAAAATTACAAAAATAATTTTATAAACTCCAGACAACCTGTCTAAATATAGAAAATAATTTCATATACTTGATTGACCCCCTAAAAAAAATTTAGAAATAATTTTTTAAACTAGAGACAACCTTTCTAAATATAGAAAATAAATTCATATACTAGATTGACACCGTAAAGAAATTTTAAAAATAATTTTATAAACTCCAGACAACCTTTCAAAATATAGAAAATAATTTTATATACTAAATTGACCAACTAAAAAAATTTTAAAAATAATTTTATAAACTCTAGATAACCTTTCGTAATATGGAAAATAATTTCATATACTAAATTGACACCTTGAAAAAATTTCAAAAATAATTTTATAAAGTCCAGACAACCTTTCTAAATATAGAAAATAATTACTTGATTGACCCCTAAAAAAATTTTAAAAATAATTTTATAAAATCTAGATAACCTTTCTTAATATGGAAAATAATTTAATATACTAAATTGACCTGTTGAAAAAATAATTTTAAAAACTTCAGACAATCATTCTAAATATAGAAAATAATTTCATATACTAGATTGACAACCTAAAAATATTTTAAAAATAATTTTATAAACTTCAGACAACCTTTCTAAATATAGAAAATAATTTCATATACGAGATTGACCCCCTAAAAAAATTTTAAAAATAATTTTGTAAACAACCGATAACCTTTCTTAATATGGAAAATAATTTCATATACTAAATTGACCCCTTGAAAAATTACAAAAATAATTTTATAAACTCCAGACAACCTTTCTAAATATAGAAAATAATTTCATATACAAGATTGACAGCCTAAAGAAATTTTAAAAATAATTTTATAAAGTTCAGACAACCTTTCTAAATATAGAAAATAATTTCATATACTAGATTCACCCATTAAAAAAATTTTAAAAATAATTTTATAAACTTTCGATAACCTTTCTTAATATGGAAAATAATTTCATATACTAAATTGACCCCTTGAAAAAATTTCAAAAATAATTTTATAAAATCTATACAACCTTTCTAAATATAAAAAATAATTTCATATACAAAATTAACACTCTAAAAAAATTTTAAAAATAATTTGTTAAACTCCAAACAACCATTCTATATATGAAAAATATTTTCATATACTATATTGACCCCTTAAAAAAATTTTAAAAATAATTTTATAAACTTCAGACAACCTTTCTAAATATAAAAAATAATTTCATATACTAAATTGACACACTAAAATTTTTTTTAAAATAATTATTTAAACTCCAGACAACCATTCTAAATATGGAAAATAAAGTCATATACTAGATTGACACCCTATAGAAATTTTAAAAACTTCAGACAACCTTTCTAAATATAGAAAATAATTTCATATACTAGATTGACACCCTAAAAAAATTATAAAAATAATTTTATATACTTCAGACAACCTTTCTAAATATAAAAAATAATTTCATATAATATATTGACCCCCTAAAAAATTTTAAAAATAATTTTATAAACAACAGATAACCTTTCTTAATATGGAAAAAAAAATTAATATACTAAATTGACCCCTTGAAAAAATTTCAAAAATAATTTTAAAAACTCCAGACAACCTTTCTAAATATAGAAAATAATTTAATATACTAAATTGACCCCTTGAAAAAATTTCAAAAATAATTTTATAAACTCCAGACAACCTTTCTAAATATAGAAAATAATTTCATATACTAGATTGACACCCTAAAGAAATTTTAAAAATAATTTTATAAAGTTCAGACAATCTTTCAAAATATAGAAAATAATTTCATATACAAAATTAACCCCCTAAAAAAATTTTAAAAATAATTTGTTAAACTCCAAACAACCTTTCTATATATGGAAAATATTTTCATATACTATATTGACCCCTTAAAAAATTTCAAAAATAATTTTATAAACTCCAGACAACCTTAATAAATATAGAAAATAATTTCATATACTAGATTGACAACCTAAAAAAATTTTAAAAATAATTATTTAAACTCCAGACAACCATTCTAAATATGGAAACTAAAGTCATATACTAGATTGACACCCTATAGAAATTTTAAAAATAATTTTATAAAAAACAGATAACCTTTCTTAATATGGAAAATAATTTCATATATTAAATTGACCCGTTGAAAAAATTTAAAAAATAATTTTATAAACTCCAGACAACCTTTCTAAATATAGAAAATAATTTCATATACTAGATTGACACCCTAAAGAAATTTTAAAAATAATTTTATAAAGTTCAAACAACCTTTCTAAATATAGAAAATAATTTCATATACTAGATTGGCCCAATAAAAAAATTTTAAAAATAATTTTAGAAACTTTAGATAACCTTTCTTAATATGGAAAATAATTTCATATACTAAATTGACCCCTTGAAAAAATTTAAAAAATAATTTAATAAAGTCCAGACAACCTTTCTAAATATAGAAAATAATTACTTGATTGACCCCCTAAAAAAATTTTAAAATAATTTTATAAAATCTAGATAACCTTTCTTAGTATGGAAAATAATTTAATATACTAAATTGACCCCTTGAAAAAATTTAAAAAATAATTTTATAAACTTCAGACAACCTTTCTAAATATAAAAAATAATTTCATATACTAGATTGACACCCTAAAAAATTATAAAAATTATTTTATAAACTTCATACATCCTTTCTAAATATAGAAAATAATTTCACATACAAGATTGACCCCCTAAAAATATTTTAAAAACAATTTTATAAACAACAGATAACCTTTCTTAATATGGAAAATAATTTCATATACTAAATTGACCTCTTGAAAGAATTTCAAAAATAATTTTATAAACTCCAGACAACCATTCTAAATATAGAAAATAATTTCATATACTAGATTGACACCCTAAAGAAATTTCAAAAATAATTTTATAAAGTTCAGACAACCTTTCAAAATATAGAAAATAATTTCATATACTAGATTGACCCAATAAAATAATTTTAAA